TGCCTGAAGAATCCGAGCCTGCCCACTTGGCAGCTTAACTGTCAAGAGGTCAGAATTTTGGGGACCTGGCCCTGGGCGCCCTTTGGGACCTGGAAGTGCCAGCTGGGTGGACCTGGGCCCTGGGCCCCCTTCGGGACCTGGAAGTGCCATTCTGAAGAGGCTCAGTGACCACTTAGGTGGACGTGACGTGCTCCATGTACTGGTACCTCCTAGGGTCAGCTTCCTGCAGCTTCCTCTTTGAGATTTATTTCAAAAGACGATTTGCATTTGGGAAGTACAGACCAACCAGCGTGCAAACTAGCCAGGAAGGAACTCAGGAGTCCTGAATATCCATTTTCCGTTCCTCAAAGCCAATCTGTTTCCTCCTAGCCCTCCCAACTTAGCCTGACCAGTGTCGCCAGCCCTGTGTCGCCAGTCCAGTGTCAGTTCCTGAAGTGCAGTGAGGGGCAGGCAGGGGAGGGTGGACGCGAGCAGTGAGAAGGCGCAGGGTGTGGGGAGGAGGGTGGGAGCTCTGGCTCTGCCTGTCCTCTGGGTGACATGGGGGAGAGCAGCGTCCTCTTGCTGGTGCTGGGTGCCAGCAGGAGAGCGCACAGCATGCCAGAGGCAGTGGCACCCTCCCTGTCTCTCCCTCACAGCCTTCCAAACCACACCCCAGTCGGTCAAGGCAGCCTTGGCGGGGTCACCCCACACAGGGCAGGCAGGTGAGCTACAGTTGCAGAGGCAGGCGCAAAAGCGGCAAAACTTGTTTGTCAATCCTATTAGCCGTGAGCACACCACAAAGATACACAAGGATGCACTCCTGCACACAAACACACCACACACACGTCTTCTGAAAGAGATGTGCAGAGACCCCAGGAGTGAACTCAAATGAATCTGGCAGCAGGGCAGAGATCCCCAGCCCACTGAGCATTCAGACTCAGGGCACACGCATGCAGGTAACCCTGAGTCTTTGCAAATGTTTCTCCGATAAACAAGGCACAGAGACCGTGTGGGCTGCGTGGATGGTAAAGCGGCTGCAGTCACCTGCAACTGGCACGGTTCTGTGGCCTCCTGCAGCGAGCCGACCCAGAACCATCTTGAATCCAGCACCCTCAGGGCCCCTGGCTGTCTGTCCCTGGCTGTCCCCCCACGAACAGGGCCAGGGAGGAGGTTGTGCCCAGGCAGCAGATGATGAGACAGGGCCCTGGTACCTCCACTCAGCCCCAGCCTGGGGTTTCCCTTTCTGGACTTTATTTTCCTGCCTAGACAATGAGAGAGTTAACTTCCTCAAAGTTCCCAAAGTTAACCCAACGAGGGTTAAAAGATCCTGGTTCTGTATCACTTCGAAGTTCCTAGGGGAAAAAAAGACAACAGAACTAAGAAATTCCATCCCTATCACATCCACATAGCAAAAGCCTTGGGAGAAACAAGAAAGGACTGAAGAGCGTAGTAAACAGGAACATGTCCGATTTTCAGATCTAACAAAACCAAAAGATCAGAAATCTCAGTAAAAGTGAATGGGCCAAGATTGAGACTGGACAGAGGCAAGTAGAAAAAACCTGGCGAGATATAGTTTACACCAGTCAGCTAAACGGAAATATAAAGCTCCAGGAAACCCCTAGTCTGGGCTGAAAGGCTGAGCTGGTCACTTTGAGGAGATAGTAGGAAATTGAGTCCAGTTATGCAGTCGGTCTGCACAGTGGCCAAAAAAGCAGTCTTGCCTGGGAAGGTCCTGGCCTGTTGCAGAAATAGGTAACCGCGGGTCAAAGGGAAACAGCTGGAGACCAACTATGGAACATACTCCTGCAGGACAGCCTTCCCACCTCTTAGCCAACAGGGCCTGTCCAGAGTTCCAGCGGCACCCTGACCTCTCTGGAAGACCCCACTCAAACCAGGCAAGTGCAGGGCCCCCAATAACAAGTGCAGGGCCCCCAAGGGGCCAAGCAACCTTTGTCTTTATTCAAAAGCACTTTATGATGCTAAAAGTACTAACTCTCAACACTGTGAAGCTACCCACAGCCACTGCAGCTCGAGTTCAATCCCTGGCAGGGAGCTGACCCACATGGCACAGCAGACCTTTCCTGGCCTACCCGCTGCTCCCCTCAGCAGAGTACTTCAGTCAATCTGCCTGTTCTGCTCCCCACTCTGTCTCTGGTGACTCCTCTCATCCGCCTACCCCCACATCTCTGGCTTGTATCCCAGTTCTTATATGCATAAATAAATAAATCTTTAAAAAATATTCTAATCATCTCATTAAGAAGTAGCATTCGTATATTCCATACAGGGTCTGCCAGGATTTGCAGGGAGGCTTTGTGACTCTGACTCAGCTGGAACCCTGAGCCTCCCTCCAGCCTCCGGTCTGCACAACCAACCTACCCAGCCCGCTGTGTCGAGCTGTTGCAGGAACACGTTGCTTCCTTTGTTGTACTTGGCGATTAGCTTTCCCAGCCAGGCTGGGCTATGCACCAGCTTATAATTACAAACAATATGCTGTGATTGGTTCTTTCATAAGCAGGTAATAATTCTGAAGTCAAGAGCCTCCAACAGTAGAAGCCCAAGCCATAAACCCTTGTGGTCTCCATGAAACAAGGACATTATAAGACAAGGGGGCAGACAAACAGAGGCTGGCCCAAGGGCATGCAGAGGGGAGGTTTCCAGAAAAGGGGAGTGGGGAAAGCAAAGTGGATGACTAGAATGGGGGGAAGAAGAGAGATCAGAGGGGAGTTTGTTCATTCATTCATCTCGCGCCAACATGCCGTGTGATGCTGAGCTAGGGGCCTGACAGAGGAGACAAATGAAAGGGACACTGAGAGCCAGGGGATCAAGCTGGAGAGAGGGGTCCCTGGCTATCAGAGAGCAGTGCTCTCAGCCTGCAGGGGAAGGCAGGCCAGGACGGAAGATGGCGGGGAGCTCCCTGGGCCAAGGCCTGGCTGGGCTGAGGGAGGTGGAGAGACTGTGTGTGTGTGGGGGGGGGGGGGGCGGGCAGAGCCTGGCAAGTTTATCTGCAGGGCTGGAGGAGAGCTCACAGGAAATCTCCCAGACAAGAGTGTGCAGTCTGGGAGATGGGGCCCAGGACGGGAGCCCCCAGGGCTGGGAAAGGGCTGTCCCGGTTCCTCCAGGCTGAAGGGCCTCACTCTGGCCTTAGCTGCCTCACTGCACCTCCAGGAGAAAGGCGACTCTGAGCTCTGGGGATGAAAGGCTCAGCTGGGTCCAGACCACCACTCCCCGTAAAACAGGGCGGGTGACGCCGGTGCTCTTTTTGGCTGCTGAGTGAGTGGCCCGCTCATCTTTGAAGATGAAACGTGCTCAGCCCTAATGAGGAGTCAGTCGGCAGAGGTGGGAGTGGGTCTGGGCTTCAGGAGCCGAGTCACCTGCCCCACCTGACCCCTCCCAGTCAAAACCGTAGCTGGCTGGGGGCACAGAGCACCTCGCTCTTCTGTGCAGACCCCCAAGCTACCTCCTCCCCTTCTTGCAGTGCCCCTTCCCTTCTCTGCTCTGCACAACCTCCCTCCCTGGCCAGGAGCAATCCCTGACCAGCCTACATTCGGGGGCACTTTCTCTCAGGGGCTTATGAGAGCAGGAGTGGCACATGCCAGCTCCCTCCAAGTTTCCAGGTCAAACCATTTCCAAGGTGGCAGCTGAGCAGGGGGACACTTCAGAGCCCCCTTGACATGGCGAGGAGAGTCATCTGTCCACTTTCCTCCCCTCTTCTCAGACTGGCGCTGACACCTGCTCCCAGAGAGGCCCTGCGACCAAGGCGCAGAAGAGAAGCCTGTAGGCAGTCACAGGAGCGGCCCAGGCGGCTGGCCGGCACCCCTCACCTGGCCAGGTCAGACACAGCCTCTGCTTTCTGCCGCATCACTCTCCTTCCTCCCCCAGCTCCACCGCAGGTGTGCCCACCTGTACCTTGTTCAGAAAGGCCAGCAGCCTCCTCTGTAGGCCCCAGAACACAGGGCCTCAGCCTCCAGAGCCAGTGTCAGTTTTCTGGGAAAGAGCTGGCAATGGAGCATGAGGCACGTAAACAGCTCAGGCTCTCCTGGGAGGCAGGGGCCTCGTAAATGCGCTAATATTAGGCATAACCAAAAGATAACCTTCGCTGAGAGTTCCAGAATGCTTGGGGATTATCATATCTTCTTAATGGTTCATTTGTGTTCATTAAGTAATTAATTTCACTTATCTGATTTGCAGAATAATGCCCAAAGGTTGGACTCCTGGAGCATCAACATCCAACCTCCAAGTGAGCTTCTGGAATTATCATCTTCCTAAATGAGGAAGATGCCTATCTGTGTTCTTCTCGCTGAGCCCCCAGGATACAGGGGCTCCCTGAGATCCCCTCCTGCCCTCAGGGAGCTGGGCTGAGACTCCCAAGCTGAGGGCCCTGTAGTGCTACTCTTGCTTGGCTTCACCTCAGGAGTCACCAGCCTCAGCTTTCTACACCCCACAACCTGCAGGCTCTGGGGCACCCTGTTGCCCCGACTCCCACCAAAGCATGGCTTTCAGGGAAGCCGGATTCTGTCTGGAAAGTCAATGAGGAAGAAGTGGGGGACAGGCCAAGGACTCAGTCTCAGTGACAACCACAACAAATAAGGAGAGGAGGCTGGAGCCAGCTCTGCCGCTGGAGCACGGGCTGCCTCACACTGGGCGCCACAGGCACTTCTCAAGCTCCTTTCCACCTCTGCACCCCTCACCGACATCTCGGCTCCTGCGTCCTCTCCATAAACTGTGCTGTGAGGACTGACAGGGTGCCATGGCTAATAAAGTCACGCCAGACCACGCAGGAGGTAGCAAAACCGGCCAGCAGGGCTGCAGGACCTTGGGCTTGCTGGCTGTGCCCACAGCGCCCCACTGTGCCCTAGGAGGGACCCAGGCAAGGCACTAATTACAGGCAGTGCAGACATGGGGAGCACCACCCCTCACCCAGGGTTCCAGGACTGGCGGCCTCAGGCCCTGGAGGCGCACACAATGGCCAGTGCTGCAGGCCCTGCTGCCCTGGTGGAGGCAGGCAGGTGCTGGGTGCTCACCTTGTGGTCCAGCTCAGCGCTGGCCTTTGGCTGTTGCTCCTGGTAGGTGGGCCAGGCCTCAAAGCCCAGGTACTGTCCGAGGGAGGATGGCCTCATGAGGCTGAGGAGCTGGCTGAGAGAGGACAGCTGGGGAGAGAAGGGAGGGAGGCCGTCACTCACTCAGGCTCAGCTCAGACACTGGGGGGACTCTGGCCTGGACACCCGGGCTGGAGGATGTGCTCTGGACCAAGGCCACCATTTTCTAAGACCTGGGACCCCTCTCACTTAACGAGCTGTGTGGCTGCTAGGATCTGAGGGTCCTTTCCATAACATGGGACAACCAACCACGGCAGGGACAGGCTCTCCCAGGGCAGGAGGGACACACTCGCACACAGGGCCCCGCACGGGTGAATCCTCCTTGAAGGAAGCGCTCCCTGGCCTGAGCTTAGGCCACTTCCCTGGAGTAAGCGGACACTCAGGTTTAGAAGCGCCAAGCCTGGAAGAGAGGGCTTCTGCCACTGGGCAAGCCCCTGCCCTGAGCTGCTGCTCATGCCTGCTGGCCCACTCACCCCAGGCTCCCTGCTTCTCTTAACTTGTTGCCATGGGGGTTTGAAAGACACCTGAGAGGAGAGGCTGTGATCTCCCCCACCCCACGCCCTCCCGTCTCTGTGAACCGTGACCTCAGTCATCATTCTGCCTGCCCGGTTTTGTCGTCATCCCCTCCCCAATGCCCTTTCCCTTCTAGAGATTTCTAAAGTAAATCCACATATCATGTCTTCTGACCCATAAAGAGCATCTAACATAAAAGGAAACATAATCATAGCATCATTCTCTTGCTCAACAAGTTGCCAGGAATTCCTTATGTGCTCTAGTACCTGCGCTCTCTCTGAGTGTCTCGAAGATGTCTTTACACAATTTTGTTGGACTGGAGATGCCCCACAAGGTGCACACCTTGCATTTAGCTGACATGCCACTTAACTTCCAGCCCCCCTACCTAGACTGCCTACCGCCTGTGGGCTCTGAGTGTGTGACCCCTGCTCCAATGCTCCCCAGGGAAGGTGTGTGGCCTGCATAAGTCCAGGTGACCGCAGCATGGCGCTCCTCCTAGTCCAGGTCTTGCACCTGGTTGGCTGCAAAGCCCCAGCAGCCTTGGACCTAGCTTGCTGCAGAGGCAGCAGGCAGGTGGGTGCTGAGCTGTTGGCCCTTCAGAAGCTCCATGCAACCCTGGGGAGGGGACGGTGTGGAACGAAGGAGCAGCGCTGGGAGTTCACAGAAGCACAGTCTCTTCAGATGTAGCAGGTGCAAGGTGGCCGAAGGGCTAGGGCACAAAGGCCCAGCCCTGCTCGGCACACCTGGCCTCCTCCCCCTGATTCACCCTTAAACACCTGCTCAGCACCTCAGTCGCCAGAGGGCTTAGACAGCCCACAGAGCAGCTGGGCTGCGGGGAGAGTCAGGCCCCGGGCTGTGGCTCCTGGGAGGGGACCAGGGTTTCTTGGCCTAGTGTCTGACCCCTTTAGAAGGGGACAAGAGCATGTAGGGACACGGACACACACACACACACAGAGGTTTTGGGTGCAGAGAAATATTCTCTGGAGCTTCACCAAAATCATAGCTGTAGCGCTTTGCTTAGGCCTTGCAAGTCTGGGAAGAGTTTCCAAAACAGCCCTGCCTGCTCGGAGCTCACAGCTGTGCAAGCACCAGCCAGGCTCTGCAGCCCACGCCCCCAGAAGCGGCCCTCAGGCTGGCCTCACCCCAGCGGGACCCTCCCTTCTAGGAGCTGGGCAGGGCAGGGCCGAGCACCACAGCCGCTCACTAGCGCCCATGTTTTCCCTCTCACCCCTGAAACAGCTTCACTCAGCTCAGCACAGTGCAGCCAGCTGCTGCTCCGCAATCTGCTTTCTGATGGCTTATTTTGTTTCCAGCTCTGCAGCCCCAGCCAGCCCCACTCTGGCAGACAGCCCCTGACCCAGATGGGAGCTTATTTGGGTCACGTGGGCTCCCGCAGGGCCAGGGCTTGACCAGCACATCTCCCCACCTAGTCCCCTGCTGGCAGTGGTCTCTGCAAGCACTTAGCCCATTAGGACAGACACCTCCAGACAAGAAGCAAATAATCACCCAAGAAGACAGGCCCCCTAATGGCCTTGTCAGTCTGCCCAGCAAGTGAGGCAACTGTCCACCCAGCTGGTCACTCCTATGTTCCGGCCCTGGCAGCAGCTCCTGCTTGCCCAGGGAGAAGGCCAGGATTTTAAGGGTCTCTGAGGCCTCAGGGGGCTACCACTGCTCCCTGGAGCCTGCGCCCTGACCAGGCCGTCTGCCCACACTACACAGTCCCCCACCCTCCTCGCCTCTGCTCAGTGAGGCCTGCCTGCAGCCTCCCACACCACCCGCTTACGCCCGTCCTCTCAGCCTGTGTTTCAAATCATCCATCACTGTTTAACACACTACGGAATTTACTTATTGATGGTGTTTATTACTATCACCTGCTGCCTTCTCTCTCACTAGAACCTAAGCTCCGTGAGGGCAGTTACGTTCTCCGCCAGGTCCCCAGAGCTCAGCACGGCACTTGGTACGTGACACATTTAATAAATATTTATCGAGTGAATGAAGGAACAAACAGCAGCCAGTTTTTCCCCAGAAGATGCAAACCCACATCCCTCTTGATTCTGGCCACTGGAAGCTCAGGCTTTCCAAAATCCAAACCAGAAGACACAGCTTGACAAAAGCTGTTTGCAAGAGGTGTTGCAAGAAGTGGCCTGGGATAAGAAACAAATTCGCAATTTCTGTCCAAACCTGTTCTACCTGTGTCTTTGCCTTATCCCAATAAAGAGCTTCTGTATCCCACCAGTCCCACAGATCACGGGGCGCTCCTTGTCTCCCTTCTCTCACAACTCACTGGCTGGGGTACACCTCAATTCCAACCACTTCTCATCACCTACACATTGACCTTCCCAGGTCAAACCACCCCTCCCTTTTACCAGGATTACTCTGATTGCCTCCTTCCTTTCCATCCTCGAAAGTCTATTCTCAATACAGCAGCCCGAATACATTTTCTATTAGACATTTTAAACATATAAAACATCTGTTAAGTCATGGGCCCTTCCTGCTGGCACAGCTGGTTCAAGCGCAGCACTGCAAGCTAGCCACACAGCTTCAGTGTGAGTTCGATCCCCGCCCTGGAGCTGACCCACATGGCGCGGCAGACCTCTCCTGGCCCGCCCGCTGCTCCCCTCAGCAGTGCACTTCTTCAGTCGGCCTGTCCTGTTCCCCACTCTGTCTCTGGTGAATCTTCTCACCTCTCCTGCACCTCTGGCCTGTACCCCAGCTCTGTATGCATAAGTAAAGCTTTAAAAAAAATTTGTTTAAGTCAGACATTTCTTTCATTATCAAAATCTTGCAGAGATTTTGGTATTAAAGTCAGAAAACCACCGCAGCCTGAAGGGTGCAGTGGGTGGCCTGTGCCCCTGAATCAGTGGATAAGGTCTATGGGGCTCCTGCGGTTGGCTGGAGAGGGAGGAAGGGAATGCCCGCGCCTCCTTTCCGTCACCCAGGACTAAAGCAAATCCAGTGCAGTGCCTTCAGCTGACCTCAACTCCTACTACTCCACCATCACTCCACCCTCCAGCCACACTGGCCTGTCACTTCTCCAAACTTAGAGACCTTTGCCTGCTCCGTGCCTCTGTCCTAGGACCTCCCGCTGCCTGGGCTGTGCTTCCCCAGGAAAGCAGCCGGCCTCCTTCAGGCCTGTGCCCACTGCCCCTTCCGTCTGTAGCCCCGCTTCTCTCTGTCTGTTATGCCAAATATTTACTTCCTTCCAGGTACTCTGTATCTGTCTCCCTCTGCCCTGAATTTTATGAGGGATGGACCAAGTTTTGATGAGGGCTGTATCTTACCTACAGCACACTTGGGCCCGGGGCCAAAACCCTGCTGTTTCTGAAATAGTCCCAGAATTCTAGGCCCAACAGGACAGTTTGACCCCAAGACTCTCCTGAAAGTGCAAGGCTTGGGGATGTTGCATCTTTATCTCGTACCGGTATCAGATGCTGTGCAAGTGCCTGTGCCTGCTTCTGGGGCCTCAGTCTGCAGCTGGAGATACACAGCCATCAGGCACATCAGGGCCCCCGCTGCTCATCTTCTCCCTCCTCCCACACGAGTCAACCCTCAACCCTGGCACTGCCCTCGTGGGTGAATCAGCTGACAGGGTCTACAGAGCACTCATGCTTAGGTGAAGAGGAGGTCAGGCCCAGTCCCCCCGCCACCCCCCCCCCTCGCCCCCGGCACCCGCAGAGTGCCTCCAACACCGAGTGGCGGATGTGGTCCAGGCAGTCACCACCACGGGAGCCAAGAAGGGGCTGGACACCTGCTGCAGAGGTCACGGGCGGGGACACCGCAGTCAGGGCCCCGGGTTTGAATACCAGCTCCACAGCCTTCCTGCCGTGTTGACCCTGAGAGCTTTCCTGACGCACCTGCCTCGGTTTGCCTATCTGGGAAGATGGAAGATAATAATAACAGTCCTACTGCCTGGGGCCTCTCGGAGAGGTGGGCGCTGAGAACAGTCACGGTGACGCAGCCAGCGCCGCTCAGGGTGGGCTGGCACTACTTCGACCTGGATGTGATGGGTGAAGGAAAGAAGGGCCAGACACCCAGCTGTGTGCAGAGGGTAGCTGGGCAGGCCTGCAAGGAGAGCCATGTCGAGGAGAAGCTGGGAAAAGGGGTGTGTGGGCTCGCCCAGGCGGCTGTGGGGCAGAGGTGGCCTTTGAAGGTGTGTTTCAATAGGAGGAGGATCGGTCTGACAGGCCAGACTGGAAAGGGGAGTGCCTGTAGCTGGGAGACCTGGGAGGTGGCCACAGAGCAGCCCGAGGCACGGTGGAGATGGGGGGAAACACTGGGAGGGCCGAGGGCAGGCCTGTGCGGGTCCTTCTTCCCCTCAGCCGCCAGAAGTCTCGAGCAGCTTTGCACAGGCTGTGGACTGTCTCAAGTCTCTTTGCAGCATAAGCACTGACTCACTGACTCACCCTCAAGACCTGGCTCAGGACATCTTCTCTAGAAGCCACTTCATTGCCCTCGGGCTAAATTAGTCACTGCGCCCTCAGCCCACCTGGCTCCTGCTCTTTCTTCTGAGGCTTTCAGCTGCCCCAGCACGAAGAAGGGGCTCTGTAGGGTCTCATGTGGGGTCAGCACATGAGCTGGGGGGGCGGCTGCTGTGGGGGGAACGTCCCGGAGCTGCACCTGACTGGCCCCGGCAGGCTGTGAAAGCCCAAGCCCCGGGGTGAGACTGGGAGCACCCAAGCTGACGCTCAAGGGGGAGACCCCCCCACCAGAAGCGCCCCACCTCTCTTCCTCCCTTGCAGCACTCTCCAGGCCCAAACAAGCCTGCCCTTCCTCCTCGCCACGCCCCCTCGCCACTCTCTAGTCTCCCCTCGTGTCTTGTGCACAGGTTCTGGCTAATTAAAAACAACAAAACAAAACGCCAAGCCTTGAAGTGACCCAGACCATTAAGCAACCCCCCGTTTTTCTGGCCCCCGCCCAACACCGTCCTGCTCCTGGCCGACTACCCTCAGGTGGAGCTGCGTCCTGCCTTCTCTGGTCTTGCTGCTCTGATAACAAATACTGGAAAGTGAACACAGTGGGTCATTTATAAGTTGGGGGACTGCGCACTGTTCTCCAAGGGGCTAGGTGACCCCCTTCTGAACAATGCTAATGACCTCTGGAGCCCTCGGTCCGCCTCTTCTCTCCATTCCCCTCTTCCCACCCTCCTCAGACCCCCCTCCACCCCGGCCCTGTCACCCCCACCTGCCACACACATACTGTCTTGGTGCTTTCACTTTCTTTCCTCTTGGAGATGCTCTGCACCAGGGTCTTGCCTCTGTGACAAGACCGAGGTGGGTGCGGGTCACTCCCTTACCTGCCCCTCTTAAGGTCTCTGCATGGGGGAACCTCCCACCCTCCTCACTCCCCCAGCCACTTGAGCCATTCAGCCTCAGGTCCCTTCGCTTCACAAGTGTGTGCTGAGTTCCTGGGTGTGGCAGCCGCCACTGGGCAGCAGTGAGTAGAAACCATTTGACCTTTGTCCTCAAGGAGCTGCTTAAGGGGCACATTTGTGTGCCTGCATGCACAAGGACCCTGAACAAATGAAAATATCAGGAGGAATGGGGAATACACCATGATGTAGGAGATATAAACAAAAATCTAGTAGACAACAATAACACAAATTGGAGGTGAATACCACCAATAATTGGAAACAGGGTGACGGTGCGGGGTGGGGGCACTTTGGGCTGGGTAGTCAGGAAAGGCCGTCCGGAGGAGGTAACATTTCAGTTGCAACTGGTGACGAGAAACCCCATTCCTGCTGAAGCCTGAGGGAAGGCATTTAAGGCAAAGGGAGCAGAACGGGCAAAGGCCAAGCTGAGCCTACCTGACCAGCCCATCCAGTTGGTGGGCTCCGGAGCCGCCTGGCCATCATCACAGCACCTCTGCCTCTTCTCTCCATCCCCCTCTACTTGGTCATGTTGTCCACCTGCCCCAGGACATCCTCCCAGCAGCCTGGGCAAGAGCCATGCAGGTTGGTCTTGTACCCTGCCAGTGGCTAGAGAAGCATCGCCTTTTGCTTGCCTCTCACGTTGCTGAGCCAGAGGGTTCAGTTGAACCCTACAACCCTTTTCCATTGGGGAGAAAAGAGCTGATGAAATGAACCCTTAAAAAGATGGCTAGAATGCTACTCTTTAAGTGGTTGAGTCCCCTCAAAAATTAAAATAGCAAATTATCTCTTATGTAGGTTTTACCATAATTAAAAAGAATAATACGGGGTCTTCCTGGTGGCCAACGGGTTAAGCGCAGCACTGTGAAGCCAGCTGCAGCCCGCTGCAGCATGGGTTTTACCCCCCACTAGGGAGGTGACCCACATGGCACGGCAGACCTCTCCTGACCCGCCCGCTGCTCCCCCAGCAGTGCATTTCAATGGATCTGCCTGTTCTGCACCCCAGTCCCACTGGTGAATCCTCTCACTCCCTGATCCTTACCCCTGTTCTTGTCTGCATAAATAAATAAATCTTAAAAATAAAGAATTAGTACAAACTCCAGCTCACTGTTCTACCCTTAGCGCTGAGCACTTACCAGGCACACAAGAAGTAACTTTCCACTGAAAGAGTATGAGCAAGAAATTAAAACTCAGCTCTCCAGGCCCAGGGACCCTAATCTTTGGGAAAAGTACTGGGGTGAACAGGTGGCGGGAAGATCCTCTAGCAGGAGGCCTCCCCGGCCGAACAACAGACGCTGCTGAGGCAAAGACTCACGTGGGTCTTGTCTTCCCAGAGAGAAAGTATCTCTTGCTGGTTCAGCATCCGGGCAATGATCACCAGGCTCAACTGGCCTCGAAGCTGCCTGAGAGACAAGGCATGAGAGAGACTGAGGGCTGTGACATCCTCAGAGGAAGGCGAGTTTGAAGTCAGGAGCCCCCACGTGGGGCAGGGCACAGTGAACATGGGGCTGCCACGCTCTAGGGTTCCTCTTTGGGCGATAGCATTTATGATTTCTTTTAGAAGTAACCAAACATGCATGACAGGAAAGTTAAAAAGAAAAAAAGGAAAGCCATTGGCTAAGGTGATAGTGCTTTTCTCTCTGGTTTGTTCTTTCTATACTTACCCATGGGCCACAGAGACGGGGAAAGCTCTAGTCCTGGCTAGGCCATTGCCCATTCTTTCCTTCGCAGCATTAGAATCTTTCCGTCCATGGAGGGTGATGGCAGGTGGGTAACCCAGACTGGTGAGACCATCTTTGTTGCTTTTTCTACTCAGCATCCAGTGACACTCCTTAGGGGGATCCCCTCTGTCACCAGCCCTAACCTGGGCTCCCCGGCATGCGAGCCATGCCTGAGCCACTGAAGTCCCAGTTACCAAACCACTTAGAGGAGCCCTCAGGGCCGTGGCTGGAACTATGAATAGCAAGTGCGCCTTTCCAGCAGGGTCAATGAGCTGCAGCTGCTGGTCAACCTGTCTCTGTGGGAGAGCCTGAAGAGTGAGGTCAGCAGAGAGAGGCAGGAGACAGAGCCTCAGTGATAATCAGACTGGGCATGGACGAAACATGGCAGACTCTGCACTAGGTAGCAGGACCTGAGGGCCCACAAAGACCTTTGTGTTTTTGTCAGCTTGAGGGAGGCTTCTGAGTCTGTCTCCTGGTAGCTCTAACTAATTCACTTGGGTGGCACTAATATATTTTTTTAGTAATCTTATTTTTTAAACATTCATGTGTTTATGCATAAAGAGCTAGGGTACAGGCCAGAGGAGCAGGGGTTGTGAGAGGATTCACCAGAGACAGAGCAGGGAGCAGAACAGGCTGACTGACAAGTGCACTGCTGAGGGGAGCAGCGGGCGGGTCAGGAGAGGTCTGCGGCGCCCTGTGGGTCACCTCCAGGGCGGGGATCGAACTTGTACTGAAGTCACTGTGGCTTGCTTGCAGTGTTGAGCTTTAGCCTGCTGCACCACCAGGGAGGCCTATAATCTTTTTTTTTTTAATTTATTTCTGTATGCATACAAGAACTGGGGTATAGGACAGCAGTGAGGGGGTGAAAGGATTCACCAGAGGGGAGGCAGGGTGACAAATAGAACAGGCAGGCTGAATGAAATACAATGCTGAGGGGAGCAGCAGGCAGGCAGGAGAGGTCTGCTGTGCCATGTGGGTCACTTCCCCGACCAGGGATTGAACTGGTGCTGCCATGGCTGCGATAACTTCACAGTGCTGTGCTCTAGCCCCTTGCACCACCAGGGAGAGCCCCAAAATGATTCTTATAAACAAAGAATTACTATTTTTTTTTTAGTTCAAGCCTATTCCATGTAATATTTGTATTTTATCTGGCAACTCCAGGAGAGACCAGCATCTCTACCCACACATGACAGGGAAGCTCTGACATTAACCAGCAGGGGCCTGCCCTGACCCAGTCTCCCTTTGGCCCTGACCCCTGTCTGCAGAGCATCTTGGTGTTCCTACCCAGCCTTCCAGACTCCTGGTGAGAGGCAGCTTCCACCTGGACTTTGCTGTGAAATAGGAAACAGGAGCCCTCATCTCCACATCCCTACAACCAGATCCCTGGGGGGTGCAGCCAGGCTCCTGCTCCTCACCCAGAGACCCAGCCCCTCACTCCTCCTCCCCCTAGTTTCTTGCTGGGCCTGGGCCACATCACACCCCCCACATGGCCTCTACCTCACTGTCAGCCAGAACCTGCTCTCCAGCTGTTCCCCGGGAGCCCGGACAGCAGCTGGGCTGGGAACACAGTGGGAGGTAAATGGCCCCTTAGCGCTGCTATTCCAAAGCGAACTTGCAGTCGGTTAGAAGTCTGGCATCTGGGCTTCATTAATCCCGAACTTGAGGCCTGCGCGGGAGCAATTTTACCCGCAGAGAGCAGGGAGGGGCCGACCTGAGGGTGGGGGTGTTGGCAGGACGGCAAAGCAGAGTTGGGGGTGGTTCCAGAAAGGAAGAGGAGGGCTGGGTGGGTCAGGACAGGGCTGTCGTCCAGAAACGAAGAAAAGCACCAGGAAAGCACGGAGGGGGTGAATGCATGAAAAGAAACCCACATCTGAGAGTGGCTGTCCCCCCTCCGTGTCCCGCCTGCCCACTGCCTTTCATCCTGATGTCCTTCCCTGCTTTTTAAACATAGTCCCCTGCACTCTCAGTTCCCACTGGGACACAGGGAGAGAAGGCAGGCCTGCTCTTAAAATTTTGACCTGACAACATATTCTACAGAGTAGAAAAAGCAAAGACTCACTTTAAATACGACTCAAACTGTGTGGGGGCAAGCATGAGGCCCGAGGGCCCAGTGGAGGTTGGCCATGGGCTCTTTCTCCCCCAGAAACTGCACAAGTCCATCCAGGGAGGCCTCCCCGGAACTCAAAGCAGACCCGCACGCAAAGGCTGCAGAAGCCTCTGGAGCCATCCCAGACACTGCTTATAAGGCAACAGGCTCTACCAGGCCAGCCCGCTGCATCGGCCCTGCCCCCCTTGGGCCTCTGTAACACCAGGACACTGGATTCAGAGGAGCCTGAGATGCTGGGAGATTTGGAAATGACTTTTCCAAACCCACAGCAGTCTCAGGAAGCGGAACGCAGGTGCTCTGCTCCTCAGCCTCCGGCCCTCCTTCCAGCTTCTGCAAAGGACGTCCCAGCGGGCACCCCGCAGGAGGAAGGCCAGCGTGGGACGTGAGGAAGGCAGAGTAATCACTGTGGTCAGAGGGGCCCCTCTGGCGCCCCTCGCCTACATCGCTTCCAAGGGGAACCAGACCCTGCCAAGGCTGAACAACCCTAAAAGGCCATCAGGCATCTGGCCAAAGGCGTGAGCTGCCTTTTCCATGTCTCTCGGGCAGCTCAGGAAGCAACAACAGTGGTCTGTTCCGCTGTGGAAATGCTGCCCAACACCCCGCCTCACGGCGTCTGCCTGGTGGCCTCTGCGAGGCCGTCCACATCACCTCTCAGGCATCATGGCGGCCACTCAATCACCTGCTCTTGAGTCCTCCATGTGGGGTCTTCTGTCTGGCCCGAGCAAGTGCTACCCAGGCCAGAAGAAGCAGGGGGTGGGGGGTGGAGGGAGCTGGCTCAGAGGTTAGGGTGACCTCCTTGGTGGTGGGCCTGGTTATCCTCACACACTCATGCATGCGGACACACAGTGTGGCCAGGAAGACAGGGACACAGCCAGCCACAGATCCTTACAACGCTCCGTGACTTGGCAACTCAAGGGAGCCATCTCCCACTGTCGACTTGAATGTGGATGGGGTCCCTGGGGTGCTGCTGCCGGTCAGACCCAAGAACGCTCTGCATGGTCCCTTTTATACACCACGTTCGAAAACAGGCAAAATGAATCCATGGCATGGAAACGAGGGAAGGGGTTTCCTTGGCAGTGGGAATGCCTGGAAGGGCCCTGGGGGGCTCTTGGAAAGCAGGTGAGGTCTGTCCACTAGGTGGTCACACTGAGCGTCCACCTATGGCGTATCCTTCCCTGCGTGTAAATTATGAGTAAAAAGGCTACTTTGAGTTAGTAAGTAAAGTTCGTATGCACAATTACAACCCAACTTTATCTTCCTTATCTCTCTGTGCCTTGCTTTCTTCGTTTTCCTTTTTGGTTTTAGGATGAAATCCACTGGCCCTTAGGCTTAGAAGACCCCTAAAAGTCACACAATGCCTGGGTATTCACCCTCTTAACCAGGACCTCCACACACTTGAAAGAAGTTGCTGTGTTTCCCACGGTGACCCCTTCTCTGGGCACAACAGCCACACTTCTGTCCTTTGGGTTCTTTCGGCCATTCTGGGCTGGGCCCTCGGAGGCCCTGGGGGCTGTCAATGGTCCCACTGCAGGGAGGCACTCAGAACTAGGCAGAAGCTCATTCCCTGGCAATCCCATGACACTGCACAGCAGACTGAGCACAAAGTCTTTTTTCACACATCTTGCTGTCAAAGCTCATTTCCCAGAGCCCGTGCCTAATTGTGCAGCTGGGTCTCTCTTTTCCTCTCGAGCCAGAATCACAGCCTGTTGCAATCATTATTTTGTGGTTGGGCATCTTCACGACATGTGGGAGCCTCTGTGCCATCAATGGCCGCTCGAAGACACTAGCACTGCCCTGCCAACCAGCCCGGGCAGCCCAAGGGCCCGCCCTCCAGGTGGATACCTGCTGAAGCACCTTGAGGCGTGTCTGGAGGCACTAGCAGAGGAACTAAACGTGCACCCCTGACGGAAGAACGGTCTGTGTCTTTTCGAGGAAGCCCATCCTCTTCAACTCAGCCTGCAGCCTCGGTGGCAGGGGGCGGGGGTTGCCCATGGGGCTGAGAGGGAGGAAGGGACACCTGCCTAGCCAGCCAGGTCACCTGACTCAACCCTGGCGATCAATGGGGTGACAGATGTCTCAGTCAGATCATCCTCATATCCTGAAGCACCTTTTGAAGATAAGTCCAGCTCATTCTTCATCTTTCAGCCGCATTTCTTCATACTGTCCCTGAGATAGGATGACAGTCTCCGTTGAATGCTTTACAGAAAACCTAGAAGTTACTCTCCAGAGTACTAGCCTAGTTAGCCTGTCAAAGAGTAAGTGAAGCCTACTTAGAAAACCCCTATGACTGATTCTTAGAAACCCTAGAAAGCGGTGCTTCTGGGCCCTCCCTGGTGGCACAATGGGTTAAAGTGCAGCACTACGAATCTAATCTAATCGTGACAGCCTCAGCACCAGTTCAGTCCCAGCCTGGGAGCTGATCCACATGGTGCAGCAGACATCTCCTGTCTCGCCTTCTGCTCCCCTCAGCAGTGTAATTCATGGGTCTGCCTGTTCTGCTCCCCACTCTGTCTCTGGTGAAGTCTCTCGCCACCCCTGTACTTCTGGCCTATACCCCAGTTCTGTATGCATAAAT